ATTTTGCAATGAGCACCAGGGATATGATATTTAATAACATTAAACGATGTGGTAGTGTTACAGACAAATGTTTATATAAACCACAATAACTTGAGAGGACCCAATTACGCCTTTGAGTACGAAAGGACCGAACCTCAAAGAAGAGCACTTTCATTTTGGACAACAGCTTACACAAATCTTCGGTCTGATCCATAGCTCCAACCAGACTACGAGATAAGACGTGAAAGTCTGACCAAGTTTAAAACTTAAATCCACAAAAAAAAATTGGAGTATAAAAAATTATTAACGTCTGCTAAATCTAGAGAAGTAATGCTAGCTGATGCTACATAAATAATAAATTTAAAAAATATAAGGGTTAATTAAGACAATGCCAAGAATTGATTAAATAAGATGCAAAATGGCACAAAAGAGAGGGAAAAAAGAGTATGATGCTGATTACTCTGATTATGGATGGAAGTGTACAGGTAAATATGCTAATACAAGAGGAGCTATTAAACAATTGACACAAGAGGTGAGTAATTTATAAAAAAATGCGGAAAATTCAATAAGGAAATGCAAGGAAAATTTCGTTTTATGTGAAATGTTAGGCCTAACTACAGATCGAAGTAAGGATGACCTGCCATTGCAAATGGTGAGTTTAGCGAAAATGCGTTCGATGAAATATATAAGAAACCTTGGGGATCGGTGCCGAGCTTTCCTATCCTATACGAAAACTCGATAAAAGCCGTGAATGGTTGCTGATGGCAATTTCATCAAATTAGTAACAGGGTATTTGATGCTTCTGCATAGGTGCTAGAATAGTAAGGCCGATGAAGAGATCATCAAGAATGCATTATACTTCGAAACAAACGTGCTTATTTTTACTTTTGTGATCATGCAATGTTATAGAATGTTATGCTGTGTGGCTTACACATGAGTAGAATGTTATGTTAATCTTCCAGCTGAACTATAAGAGCTATAAACTAATTTCATGCTACTTAAGTCATCTTGTTTAGATCTCATCTCCATGCTTAAGTATATCAGTTGACCTATCTATTATCAGTTTGCTTACTTGTGATTAATAAGACCCTAATACTTACGAGAATTATCAATGCATACATAACGAGTTAGCTGAACACAAAGCTCCAAGAAAGCAGAAGATATAGCTTGTACATAGTCACAACTTTATCACTCTTGACTGCTCAAGATGATTTAAGGACGGGTAGTTGGATGCTTTCTACAACGATATGAGTAGGCTGCACAATGCCATTTAATTTTACTTAGCCTTGAATTCCAAACGATTCTCATCCAGGGTACCCACGATCAGGTATTTAATTCCGTCGAGGGTGCTGGTGTGGCCAAGGCAAGGTCTATTGACCCTGGATATGAGAAAATTTTATAGTCAAGGCTAACTGAAATTCAATGGCATCGTGTGGTCTACTCACAGCATTTTGGGCAAAACTGAACTGTTGGCTCTTAAGCGATATAAGTTGATCAGGTTACATTCAAGAATAACTGATAGTCTCGAAACTTACATATAAAACTATTCAGTGGTCGGAAACGTTCGATAGGATATGGTGAAGCAAGACTGTGTAAAATGCATTGTAAACATTAGGCTTACTCAAATCATTATGGCGAAATTCAACCACCAGTCCTTCATTGCTTACAAAGAAATAGGGTGAATACATCGCACCTAATTGCAGGAACAATTTGTAGCAATGTTTTTGATGAGACCTCTTCGATGAGCTCCCGTATTATGACAACCTGGCATAAATATGCTGGCATTATACAAATGTGTGTGACTCGCCTTTTCATTTATAAAGTAAAGTTGGGTCAAAAGGATTCTTGTATTTGTCTCAGCGGAGGATTATGTTTGAGTAGAGAATGTTTGTATTGTGCTAAGAAACCTTTGATTAGCAGTCCCGGGATTCCGATCAATCTGGACTGAGCTTTCGTATTGCCAACCATGACAGGCAAGGTCAAATCAGGAAAACATCATTTAGAAAAAACGCTTTTGCATTTTATGAGTTTTTCGTAAATGATGGTCTCTTGCTTTGACTATATTTTGTATGACTGACGAAAGCCTGAATCGGATTCATCAGTTACAATATGGAAGGCTGATGACTTCTTTGCACAATCAATTGTTCGCGATTCAAAGGCAATCCTTCCTCAGTTTCCGGTTAAGCAAATACGCAGATCCTCTCCAGCCAGCTTCTTCTTCAAAATGAGAGGTCGAGTCACACGAAATCATTAGGGGACTCTTTGGAACCCAGCCTTTTTGTCATAAATAAGCCTGTGTAATCCTGCTTTAAAATAAAAAGAAGTGATAGTCGATTTACTCTGAAAGTGCGGATTCATTTTGGCTACTTATGCACTTTATATATAAGTTTGTCATTTGCTCGAAGATGCTGTAACATTGTACAGTGTCATTTTTGGGATGAACTGAATTCACTAATCTCTGGGCTTAACTTTCCAACAGAAGATGAAAATATAGAGTAAAACTTCAAACCTGGTTTCGCTGCCCTCCCCACCCATCCAGCTGACTTCAGCTTGTCAACAAGCGCATTATGATATATTTCCGAGGAAACACTACTGCAATTTCACAAGTAGTGAGAATTTAAAACAACCTTGAAATTGCAAAACCCGTAAGGGCTTATCTTCTCACCGAATATTGGTAGACGTGGCCCATCCCGGCTTGACTTTATAGCACGAACTCCCTCAGGGACTCGAAGTTGCTCGAGCCTTTCCATCTCCTCATCTCTGTCCGCCATTTGCGGCATCGAGGTGACTTCTGCCCTCCCAGACGACCTGCTGCTTAGGCAAGGCCACTCTGGCAGCCGACCATTTGGGAAGCGTGGTGTCGCCTCTCCGTCTCTGAGTCGAGCCAGGACACTGCGACCATTGGCATTCAGGCCATTCTGACCTGTATCCAAGGCATACTCGTTCCGGCCGGATAGGCCCACCGTCAGCCGGGGAGATGGAGATTGCAGTCGCCTCCCGGATGCGCCCAGTTGTACATCCGCCCTGCCGGATCCAGTGACCTGATCGAATTCATTTCGCGACCGAGCCGAAGTCTGTGGGCAGCCGTAATTTTTCGACGTGGCGCCAGGCATGTGGTCTGTACGACATGGGTAAATGAGCTTGTTGAAAGAACTTCTGAGGGTGCATAGCCTGTCGATTGATAAATTTCTCGCAGTAACAACAAAAAATACAACTTATTTGAGGGGAAACTGAAGTTTCAGAAAAGGTAAACCATAGCTAATTTCCGTTTATGTAGTCAGAATAGCGAATAGGCTACATGATAAAGTTTCCGACCTGTTAGAAATACACATAATAAGAAATTAAGAAATTTGGGTATAAGAATTCGCTCAAGGAAACCATCCATATTTAATTAAGTGAAATGAAGGGATAGCCATTGTCAAAAATAGGTAAATCTGTCCAACGCTTCCTTGGCCATTTCTACTGAGGAGGTTCTATCAAAGGACTCAAAGTTTGCTTTTCTAAATGGCAAGGACTTCAAATAGGATATTTTGGCAGAATTGATTAGTTTGGTAGATATTTTCCCAGAGGATTTGAGGAGTGAATTTTAACTGATTGTCATGTAGAAGCACAATATATTAGAATAGGATAGTTAATACTATTATAAGGAAGCTTAAGGCGATTTACCAATTAGTATTAAGGTCAGACAAAAGAGTAGCAGTAATAGTTATGGATAGGACTGACTATGTAGATAAAATGTTACAGGCATTAGATGATGAAACAGTATATCAAACTATAATTACGGACCTGGCAGAAGGCCTTAAGGTCAGGCTTAAAGGGTTTCTGCAACAATATTTAACTAGTGGAGGACAAAAAATGGAAAATGAAGGCACTTTTCCAATGGGATGCTAGACACCTAAATGCGTATGTTCTACCCAAAATTCATATGGGAGGAATCCCACCTAGAGTCCTTGTAAATCATGGGGGTAGTTTAATGCACAATCATCATGATCTATTTATACTCAATTAAAACAGATCTCCGAAACTAAGAAGTTTTCGTTAAGGAACTCTTACGACTATAAAATTAATCGATGATCAGACGATAGAAAGAGGAGATTTTCTGGTAAGTATCGATGTAGTGTATCGATGTAGACTCATAGTTCGAAAAACGAAGAAATGAAGGCGTTAGAATTAACTTTAGTTCAACACTCTAAAATTATAACAGGTAAAAAATTATGCAAAAATTGAATCATGAAATCAATCAATTTTGCAATGCATAGTAGCACCTTAATGGTAAGCTGTGTGAGTAGACAAGGGACTTTGCTATGCGATCTTGTTTAACCCATACTTTAACTAATATCTTCATGGTCCAATCGGAAGTTCGTGTGTTTCAAGATGCGCTGCAAGTTCCAAAGTTATTAGTTCGTCATATGGACGATTACTTTGCTTTTTAGCAACACTGCGAAGATAGCTTAAGAGAATTCCTTGAGCTTATAGATAGAATAGACGCAAAAACTAAGTTTACTGTGGAGTTAGAAAATGAGAATAAATTCCCTTTTCTGAACGCATTAGGAAATAGAGGTGATAAGTTATTGGGGGGACTTTTATTTCGTACGAAAATGCATGGAGAAGATATTCGTAGGTCGATGTCACTGGAAGAGGACGGACGAATCCCGTTTTACTGCAGACGTTTGGCTTTTATAAGACGTTCATTTTGACGTAGTCCACGAGACTTGCTCTCTCGTTTTACTTAAAAACGGGTTGAACTTTCGCCCATCATTTGCTGGGCATCATCAGAGCTGGGTCTCATTCCAGTAAAAGTCTCATGTTAACGACAGGGCAAGAAGACTGTCCGGCTCTATCTTACATCATATATAGACTCAATTAAAATAAAATAAAATAAAAAACCTATATAGCTATAGAGTGGATTGACTAATTATCTTTCATACTAATCCTGCTACTTTTGTTAGAGTGTGTGTGTGTGAATGTGTATGTGTGTGTGTTAGCGTCTATAAGCAATACCGGTCCTGAATCCAAATTACCAAAAGACTAATGTCAGCCTCTGATCATCAAGGCCTAATGACCCAGGAGAAAGCCCTGACCAAGACTGCGTAAGTCCGTGAGCAAACATGGCTGAGATAATGAGATATGAGCTTGTAAGCATGTAAGTCAATTAATTAATGTGAGGAATTAATGAAAAGTCAACACCTTGAATGAAAGGAACAAGTGTAGAAAACTGAGTATGAACAATTTTTCTGTTGGATAGGCTTAAGGAGCGGAAGAGAGGGCGAGCAGGAAGAGCTACTTGACAAGAAAAGGAGGCTGGATTCGTCTCGAGTCTAGCCGGGACTATCACACCTGTCATGGCATGAACATTACATACACACAATAGACAATATAACATACCCAAATAGGAGTCAACATTAAAGGAACGTACACTAGTTTATTTTTGTAAGTAAACCGCTGTCACCGAACGCACTTCCGGTTCGTGGATAACTTAACTCATCTGGAAGCATGTAGAGTAAGGTTGAAGTAGCCTCCTTAAAATGCTTCATTAAGATGACCAAGTTAAGTGTTGCGGCCGGCCTGCTTTTATCTTGGCCTAGTTCATTTTTCTTCTATTTCGTAAAGCACAGGTCCATTGGCGTCGCAGGTCGATAAGCCCAGGGCGCCTCCGCAAAATCCAACAGTCTTCCCTATGCTGCAATCTTGCTCCGGTTTCTGGTGCAGACCCATCAAGAATTCCCTCTAACCAACTTTTCCTTCGAAATGGAAAGTCAAGTAACGATGACTCATCTGGAAAGTCTTCGAAACCCAGTTTTTCTTCGTCAGGGTGAATAGAGATTTCGTATATTATAAATGTTGTAATGAGATGTATTCACCCTATTTCGTGTAAGGTGATGAAGGACTGGTAGTAGAATTTTCCCAC